GGGACAGTCAATGAACGTTTTCACATTTACAAAACTGTAAAACGAATAAAAGGGAACAAAAGTACAGTTAGTTATACCTCCCTAAAAGCCGTAATAAATTAAAGAAAGTGTTGGACTACCTTGTTCTTCAATCTGCTTATAAAGATCTTCAGCGGCACTTTTCTCTTTCACATGTTGTTGTTGTTGCTGCTGTTGCTTGTGCGCCTCTGGTCTTGGCTTATATTCCGCACCTGCCGCTTCTTTATACCGTTTTTTAAGCTCCAGCAATACTGCTATGGCGGCTTTCGTTTCTTCACTTTTAGAATCAGTTGCTTTTAAAGACCGAACAAGATTTCCTTGTTCCTCAATTCTTCGATACAGTTCCTCGACAGTTTCAATTCCAGCAGCAGCTGCCTGCTGAACCGGTGCTGTGTCGGGTTTGTAGTCCTCTCCGGATAATTCTTTATAAGCTTTCTTCAGTTCCAGAAGCTTGGCAATTGCATCCTTCGTTTTTGCAGCTTTTGGGTCAGATGCCTTCAAAGAGCGCACAAGAGCTCCCTGCTCCTCCACCTGCTTGTAAAGCGTCGTCACATCCGCAGAGACTGCAAAAAAAATGTACTTGAAGACGTGCAAGGTTCTAATATGTGCGATTTTAGACAAGCAAACATGAAAGACAAGCAAAATATACAACTGACCTGCCCGGATGTCGCCATTTGTGGAAATGTTGCCATTTACTGCCGTTATTTTGTCGACGGCCGGACATGCAGTTGTCTGCAAGCGCACAAGGGCACAGTGAAAGTAAACAGAGATGAAATGTTTAACTGTCACAATATTACAGAAAATACCAAGAATAGCAAAGTCCCTCGGACAATTATTACAGGGATGCCATTCAGCAGTGTTAGTGCAAAGGTCCACAAAATTTTGAAATTAACAAAGGCACTCAACAAAGAACGTGTAAGCCAAATTTTTATTAAGAACTGATATGAAGTCAGTGAGTGCCCTAATTTCTGACCTGTTGCGTAGCTGTAGTGGGTTTACTGCCATCCGGGATAGCTATCAAAACCATCGGTAATTCAGAACCAGAAAAACCGCTTTTCGGTGCATAATCAGAATCGCATATGTAAAATCCTTTGCGCTGCAGCTGAACAGTGTCACCTTTGTGTATCTGTTGCATCGCCGGTTCGCCAACCATTTTAAAATATCGCTAAAAATAGAGTATATAAAGGTAATTACCGTATGATTTGCCAGCTACTCAGGGGCGAATACGAAAATCGACCCTTTGTGCCATAAGTAATCCCCTATTTAGGGCAATATGCCCAGCTCATTCAGTCACAATGCTCTCATATTTCCCTTTATTCTCAAATAAGCCAATTTTCTTTAGTTACAGAAAAAACGCTGGTCACATCCTTAATTTCCAAACTATATGTCATGCTGTCGGTACACAGGATCCACAGATACAATATTAAAA